AAAAAAAAGACATATGCGGACATACAATTTCAACCACCTCAGGTTCTGTCTGGCTGTTGCAACGGCCATTTCAAAATCACACAAGGGCCGCATATGAGGTGACTTCTGTGGAAATACTGGCACGAACTAAAACAGACCCGCCAGAATAACTACACGAGGGGATTGGCCACAACAGGCTTTCGATGAAGGAATAGAGTTTGGGTGGGGCTACAACAATGGTTAATAATGCAAGGGCTGTTTGCCTTCATGGTGATTCACAGAGGAACACAGTGAGGAAACGCGTTCTCTACGCCACGACCACGACAAAAATTTGAAAAGAAATTGTCTGAGATTTGTAACTCGTGTTAGATAACGATGATAACAAGAGGTTGTACCGGATTTCGAAAATAATCCAGTCCATTAACCGAACTTCTTAAAAGATTGAAGAGTCCGCGTACGTTAACAGCGTGAATGTCTGACGCAACACCCACGTGGGAGAAACATTTGCTCGGTTTTTAAAAACAACAGAGCCGATCTTGTCGAGTGGAGTCTGGTTTAAAGACTTCCGGGCGCACGAATACGACTGCGACTGCAGACCAGCACTTGTAAAGATGCTTGATACGACAGTGAAACTGATAAACAGCAAAACATCAAGTGAGGTCGCTCTTTGACGGACGAGGATTGTCTGTTTCTAATGATAAAGCTTCCAGATTTAATAATGTCTTTATGCAGAAGCGAAGTGATCACTGACATGCCCTCAATTGCTTCCCTAGGCTATCAAAGGTTTCAAAACGCCCTGCTTCGCTTTTTATATTTGCATTTTACAGTTTGGAACTTTACTGATTTGTTTGTTTCTCTTCACTAAATATCGCCAAACTATCCATTTGCAGAGCACTGAAATCGGGCACTTTTAGCCTTGACCTATTGTAAGTTGCAGAGTCTACAGCGTTTGTCAGGCAACTGTAAAGTGCATTAAATCCTTATAAAACCTATAAGATAAAATGGCTTGCAGGGCCGATAAGGCTAACAAGGTGTCAGTACGAAACCCACAGGATGTGTGACTGAGAAACTAGGACTGAGAATTAATGTAAACGGGGCTTTTTGTAACTTTCAAGCAGTGAATTATCTCTCATACGCACAAGGTGCCGCAGGTTAGGGGAAGATTTAGGTATCCATATAGTGCATATGTTGTTTCCAATTGGAAATGCTGAATGGATCGCTGACAAAAATAGCTGGTTGCAGTGCTTCGCCATTAATCACACCTACGTGGGTCTAAGTAATCTAACCTATGCGCTTGAGGATGAAAAAGAGAAAAATCCTCAGAATGTTAGGCCGACTTCAGAAGGTACACAAAAAAAATGGATAAATATCAAGGAAATACTAATAATTTAGGCCAACTGATAAGTAATCGAGTTATTAAATCGACTTGGAAGAAAATTTGAAAATATACGCCCAAGGATTCATACATAACTAAACTGTAGAAGTATAGAGGATACAATGAAGAAAGGTAACCCTACTGACCAAGACAGCCGGCAGCGAGGAGCGGGCTGTGCACCGAAAGTCGCGCAACTCATAATGACTATTTAAATAACATTAACCTTGATGTTTTTATTAGATTCAACGCTTTTTTAATAAAATTAAATGAGAAAAAATATCTCTTGAACAATGACAATAATTTTGTTTGAGTCGACAGAAATTAATTCGTTACATGCGTTGAATCCCGGTGCTGCTCTGCGCTTAAGGTGTCTACCGAGTCATCTTATGCATGGGTGACATCGATTATTCACGCTGTGATGAGCAACAATCTTCAATCAATCATGATTGATTTAAAAAATGCGACCGATGAGCACGAAAATGTAGGTTCTAGCCCATAAACACACATTGGACACGTTCTTTCCTTGCGTGATTGTGCCCATTTTTGTGTTAGGACTGCCTAAGGGTAGTTTCAGAACAATATCTGTCGCTTTACACTCATTTCTGGCTGCAGTGCTTGTCTTCCGAAGGAATTAAACTTCGCTATCATAATACAGACTACTATTGTCTTTAAGTTATGTAGTGTCGTGCTCCAACTGATTACGATCGGTTTTTATTTATTTATTGATACTCTTAGACGGCTTAACCGGCCGTCTGTGTCCTTGAAGGACTCACACTAACTATAGTAGACTGCGGGCCTACCGTTTTATCATCAGTTTATCGCCAACTGCTGGTCCTGTCTCTGTCGGCTCGTAGTTCTACTTTTCCCTCAGGGTCTAGACTGTGACGCTAAACGTGCTCATGTTAGATTTCGCCCTATGTAGTGGCGCCTGGTAACCCATGTTGAAATATTGCAAAATTGGAATGCTTTCCAACATGGAACTCAAATCGGCACTTAAGCCTGGAACTACAGATTATTTTTACGTTATCGCGGGTACTAGGACCATGCTTCTGTCACTGGATTTACCTTCAGATTTCCTCCAGGTTGTGGCAATAGGGCCTCTTGTCGTCCGTCCTGTTGAGAGTTAAAATTCCAAGTTGTTCTGTCTGTGCGCAGTCTGCGCTATTTTTGGGTTTATTGTAGTATATGCAACAGCCATAACAGTTACCTTTATTGCACTTAATTGTTGTCGGTAACATAAGCTCTGATGCCGATTCCTCCTACGGATTTGGGCAGACCTCTAAGAGGTATTTGCAAGCACGAGATAAGTTGACGAAGTTGAAATGCTTTGTTTGAGCTCGATACCTGAAGTCTTCAGACGCCTCCGCCATAAACCATAAATCGTGTTCAGTACACACAGCGCACAGAAAGGGACAAGAAGTGGTTGTTAATTAGACACACCCCATTTACTCATTTGTGCTTGCGTTCTCGCCTGCAGTTGTATTCGATTTTACATTTGCAGATCTTAAGCCTGCATTTTTGCCCGGTACCACTTTTTTCTGACCCGTCCGTCCTGTTTTCGCTCCCTATTCGTTCCACTTTGATTTATGCTTTCCACT